TTGTTGCACTGAGAATGCTCAGCTAGGTCTTCCATGTGTTCATCCACGTCATCCTTACAATGTATGTCCTCTCTGTCATCAAGGACAGACTCATTCTTGAGCCTTTTCTTATCCTCTTTTGCCTTCATCTTCACTCCACACTCCATACTTTCCCTTACTTTCCCCTTATCGTTCTTTGTTTGTCTGCTCTCCATCTCTCCTCCCTGTGTTTAGCCCCTCCCCCTTCACTCTGCCTCTTTCTCACAGCGTACAAGTGGGCTGTTATGGCACACGGGGATGGGGGCAGCTCGTGCTCAACTTCATCAATGTGGCGAGCCTTGTACGTGAGAGGCACGGTGAAAGGGGAGTCAAAAAAAGAATGAGAAAAATGAATGGTTTCACTGTACCCTTCATGTTTGTCCTGTTTTTTTTTTGTTTTTTTTTTTAATTTTTTTTTAATTTTTATTTTTTTCAGTTTGTTTCGCAAAAATTGCGCTCTTTTAGTTCATAGTCATGTGACAATATATATATATATATATATATATATGCATGCATTTATATATGTAGAGAGAGAGAGAGGGAGTGAGAGAGAAGATTCATGCGCTTGTTTTTTTACAAAAGAGGAGCATGCCTGCTTGGGCCTGCACGTGACATGTGTCTGGATGTGATGATTGCAGAGTGGCACAATCGAGCTAGAGTCAAAGCCATTCAATATCCGTGCAGAAGTTGATGATGTCTTGAGCTTGTTTATGGAGAAGGTGAAAGACAAGTCACGCGTGGAGTTCTCTGCATATGTGCATGATCATGTACCTGAAAGGCTCATTGGCGATTCACTCCGATTCCGACAGGTTGTACCATTCTGATGAGCACATCTTTATTTCCCTGATTTGAGTCTGTTGACACTGTATAGTAGGCACATACAGTATTTTCCTGGTGCATGTTCACATTCAACTGTAAGATGCAGTCTGTGTTACTTCCTCTCTTTTTTTTTTTCTGTTGTTTTGCTCGCGAAAAACCATGCCTAGCCCCGTTTCATCGTTTTGTTCACCTCCATCTTTCCATTCACCCCTCCATTACTGTTCTTGACTTCTGTTTTTCTTGATTTATGTGTGTCATTCCTGGGCAGGGGGCATGCTAATCATCTCCGTAGCTCCAATTATAACAAATTTCCGGAACGACAACCTTCTGTTTCTTTTTCTATGGGACAACGAGTAAAATTAAAAATGTATGTCTACCTGCTCTGTTGCCATGTGGTACACACATGTAAATGCTTTCTTTTTTTTATTTTGGTAAAGGACAACTGCCCCGGAAGTAGCTTGAGGTGCTGGTAGGAGCATACAACCCAAGCTTTCCCGGGGAGGCTCCATCAATTGATGGGGAGCTGCACCTGCTGGGAAACGGGCCCAGAGTCCCCTTTTTAAACTAGACTGTTTTTCCGGGCGCCAGGGCACCCAACTTATGCCCGGATACACACCCGGGTGCCTGGTGGGGCGTGACCCTCGGGCAGGGTTCCGGGCAGCCCCAGCGCAAAAAAAACAAAAAAACAAAACAAAACGAAAGTAAAAAAATTCCAGGAAAAAAATACGTTGTGTAGAATTGCAATACAAACAACTTTTGCCGGAGGGTCACATCCGAATTCCTCACCAAATCGGAGATAAAAAAGAAAATAACAAAATCACACTAAGGCACCCCCCTTAAAACCCCCTTAGCCCCTTTAAAACAAATTTATACCCCCCTTCCCCCCCCTTGACAGCCAACTCTCAAAAACTGAAAAGAGCCCGGATTTGGGGTCCTCTGGGAGAGCGCAGAAAGGCAAAAAAAAAAAAAAAAAAAAAAAAATTTGCATTCCCGGGTACCCCGGGCATCAGACCCCCCCAGGCGTCACTCCCAGGTGCCCGGCCGGGCATGAAAATCTTCCTAGGTTGAAAAATCATATCACAGAGTTGAAATGGAGGATGCAATGGGTAGTGCCTCTTCGGCCTGAAGGAAGGCCGCCAAACTGGAAATGAATAAGCTGGCTATTTCTGTGACGAGCGTGAGGCTGAGGGTGAGCCGAGGGAGAGGAGAGAGAGGGAGAGAGTGAGAGCACACACACACACTCACTCACTCGACACGACGGACTTGGACTGAGGGTCGGACGCAGACACAGTGGCAAGGCACAAAGTCAAAGTCTTGGGTTCCGGATGCCGAAACAGCCAGTCACACTGAGTACGAGTACAGCAGCAGAGAACTGGTAGGAGACTGGTCCCCGTACCGTACGGGGAGCCGGTATAAGTACCGGTGACACGTACGGTACCAGGGGCATTTCTGCAAAGGCCGCGAGGGCAGAACTGAAAAATGCAGTATTTGAAAGCGGCGCCCGAATTACAGCATGGCGCCAGTTGTCCAAAATCCTTCGGTACCAAAGGAGGGGTTTGGAAAAAGGGTGCCAGGCCGAAAACGGGATGCAGCCGAAACAGCAAAAGATAGACCAGGGATCGAGCCCTGGCGAAGTCCGTAACAATTTCGCCTGCCAAATGTAACAAACAGATTAACGGATTTGAAGCATGTCTACCCCACTTCGTGGCCTTATGGGTATAGCAGGATTTGAACCTGCGACCATTAGGTTAAAAGCTCAATGCTCTACCAACTAAGCTATATACCCAGAATCCAGATAGGCTTAGTAGGATTTGAACCTACAATATCACCGTTATGAGCGGTGCGTTTGAACCAATTAAACTATAAGCCCAGGAACTTGCTTCAGAAACAACAAAACTAACTCAAGGGTGGTACCCGTAAGGCCAGGATTTCCCGGCCATTTTTTACGGGTACATAATTTCATTAAAACACGAATAGAGTCAAGAGTTCCACCGCTAGGCCCTAGCTGTTTTATGGCAACCCAGCAGCCTTGTTTTTTACTTTCTTTTTTCAAAAGCCAAACTTTCATTATTGTGTTACGATCCTGGTCATTCCCAAAGTGCAAATTCACAATGAAAGACCGTGCTACCCAATTGCGAAAGAAATGAAAGCACTTGCAAAGAGATAGGGACCAAAGAAGAGAGAAAGAAGAAGAAGAAGAAGAAGAAGAAGAAGAAGAAGATGTACACCAACAAGACCAATGACAAATCCCCCTTCTCTCTCCACCTTCCTCCTCCTCCTTCACTTCGCCAATCTTATTCTTCTTCCAATAATAATAATAACAATGAGCTCTCACATGCCTAGGCTATGGCAGACTACTGAGGGCTCTGCCCTCCTGTGCAAAGGACAACGCAAAGCAGCTATGTCGCTGCACTCCTGTCCAAAGGACAACCCAAAGCAGTTATGCCGCTGCTGACTAAGCCGCCATGCCTGACTCTGCCTCGAGCTTCCTTGGTGTGGCACTACCCCAACTGGGGCCTTTCAGATGCAGCACCCAACACGGTGATGAAGATGGTGTCCACCATAGCCAGTAGGTACCTCGCCACTCTCCTCCTTCGCCCCCTTCTTCCTCCGCAGGCTGGGCTGCTTGCCATAGCCAGGCTGAGTGCCTGGTGGTCGACGTAACAATAATGACATTTGTCGATATGCCAGTGATTGTTTACTTAGATCATCATAGATAATTAGAGTGCGCATTCCATCGTCTTGGAGGTAGCGCTGCACAAGTCCAGCACTTGGCTCCAGCAGCATGTCGCCAATCCTTGCATACCGCAAATGAGGAGGAGCTGCTTGCTCCTCCAGAAGATATAGCGGCCTACTGACCTCTTGGGCGGTGACTTCCTAGGCTGAGTGGCCTCCCAGCAACCAGTACCTCCTCCCTTCCGGAGGGAAACATCATTGCACGCTCGGCTATCGTCCGGACAGGCCCTAGACTCAACCTACTTGGACTGGTACCGGCCTACCTCTAACCTACCGCTACTGGGCCTCTAAAAATGCCAACTTTTTGTCTTCTTCTGCTCGGCCTCCAGTACCCGACACTTCTACCACTCCTTGAGTGGTACCGGCCTCCCTGCTACTTGAGTGTTTTTTCCCGCTGCTCTAAGTGTCACGGGCCTACCCCCGCTACTTGAGTGTTTTCCC